GGATTAATTAATTGCTGACCCCATGATAAACCTTACGATCTGAGTCACAACCCTAACTTATAATTCTAAATAAGAAAATTCTGAAAACTTTCTGCAGGAGTTAAGCTTTCCATAGGGTGTTGGCGCCATCTGGTGGACATCAATTTTATTGCATGATTTAATTCTCTCCAGTTATATCAGATGTTGAAATCATGTAAAAGATCAAAGATCATTATTTCAGCAGGAATTTTATCCCAGAGGTTTGTTAGGATAAAATATCCTCATCCATTACTGCCATTACCATCAACAACAACCTAAATCATCAAATGGGAATAAAACATTCTTATCAAATAAACAAATGAAGCATAAAATATTTTAATTTTTAATAATTAGCATTTATAAATGTATTTCGTACATGATTAAAGCATTAAACCTACAATTAATTTATTAAATGGACCATTAAATAAATAAAATGCATTTAAATAATGAGTTAAATTAAATCCTTTTCTTATAAAGAAATATGGGTGACGTTTGTATTTTCAGAGGGCGTCTGGTCGGTTTGGGGGTCACAGAAATGTTAGGGAAGCACATTAATTAGTGACCCTACCTTCCATGGTGGAGATGAACTCTTTCTCTCCGTCGCTGTTGGTGGACAGAACTTTGTAGAACCTCTTCAGTTTGCCATTCCGGCTGTAGTTCTGTAAAGACAGATAATCCATTCCAACATCAACACAATCAGAACCTTCTCATTATATTGAATCATTTATTAACTTATAATCAGTTATACTGACAACGCAAAACATTTAAATGTAAGGCGGTCCATTTTTCTTACTTCCATTTGAGATGATGAATCAGACAGTTTGACAAAAGAATCAGATGATTTATATTTAAAATAAGAGCAATCAACTCCATTTTCCGTCTTTTCAAGAGCATAAAATCTAATTATCTTATTATACAATAGTAGCCATTCAAAGTTTCCCCACTTTCTTTGATGGGTCCCTGGCTGGTCCCCTACAATCTTTGTCCTAAAATATTCTTTCTGTCATGATTTGTGGACATTAATGTCTAAAGAGAAGCGCCATCTCCTGGTCAGAGCCTATAATTCAGTGAAAGGGTGGAGTCAGAGTAAAAAAATATGCACGCCCAGGAGAAGGTCAGAGGCTGAAAGTTGGAGAGGACTTTGCTGGGAGCTGCAGGGAAGTTGGCTGCTATTCAGCGGGCGTTTGCTTTGGAAGGGTCATTTTGAATGGCTGCTATTGTAAAGCAACATAAACTTTTTTATTTGCAGATCATGTGACCTAGCTGCTCAGGTTAATATTTTAGGAAATGTTCATTTTTAGATCAGGATTGCAGTGTGTAGCTTTAACAATGATGTCACTCACTACAACAAATCAAATCTAAGTCAGTCCATTTTCTTAAATAAATATATATCAATTGTTTTTGGCAAATAAGTCAGACAATTTTCCAGTGATATAAAATGATTTACACATAAAATAAGGCAGAAAAACTCATAATTTCTAGCGTTGCTAAAAGGAGAATAAGAGAATATTTTAGTTATTGGGCGTCTTTGCTTTTTTCAAATATTAACAACAAAGATTTGACCATAATTCTACGGAAGAGGATTAGGGCCACTGGAAAAAAAAAAAAAGAAAAGTAAACTGATTTTTAAATTTTATTTCAGTTTAACATGGGAAAAAAGTCAGAATTCTGAGATTAAAGTCAGAATTCTGACTTTTTTCTCAGAATTCTGACTTTAATCTCAGAATTCTGACTTTATTCTCAGAATTCTGACTGAATTCTGACAATAAAAACAAGTCAGAATTCTGAGAAAAAAAGTCAGAATTCTGACATTAAAGTCAGAATTCTGACTTTTTCCCATACTATACTGAAATAAAATAAAAAAAAAATCAGTTAACTTTTTTTTTTCCAGTGGCCCTAATCCTCTTCCGTATAATTCAGCCACATTACAAAATAGGTATTTTGTTCTGTTTTTTTAGGCAGATAAGGCAGACAAATTTGCCAATATGATTTAAGCTTAAAAAAAGATCAAATGAACCATTTTTCTTATTTCAAGAGATTAAAATCTAATTATCTTATTATAAAGACAAAGATCATCTGATCGGGCAAAAGGTTTATTTTAAGACATCTTTACTAATCAGGTTTTGCAGTACAACAGTAAAAATACGCTTTTCATTTTTAGACCGTTACGTATTAGAAGACTGGAGGCAGACATATAATAAAATTTCATATTTCCATCAGTTTTCTTGCTGTTTTTCATCCCTTCAATGACCTGAACAGCAGGTGTCTAAAAGGAAAACCAAAGCTACTATTAGGCTTTATTTCAGTCACTGCAACAAAAATACATGAAGTCCATTTTTTTCCTGTGATTTGAGCAGATAAATCACATGTTAATAGAATAAGATTATTTCTGTTGAAAATGAGAAAAAATATCTCTATTATCTCATTTTATGAGTATCAAATCTCCCTCTATTGGTAGATCATCTGATTTAGGTGTTTAGATTAAGAGAATCCGTTTTTTTTTGCATTGTCGTTCACATTTCCAAATATATGCGACTTGTATGTGATCCCTGTAAGAACTGCATTTAAAACAGCTTAAGTGTCCCGCATGCACAGTGGAATGACATCACAGGCCAGCGTGCTGTGTTTACGGAAGTAAACGTGGATGGTAGAGCTGGAGCGCATCTAACGAGCTTTCCCAGCCATAAAAACACAATCTTTTCAGTATAAATACTGCTTTCAGCATCATCGTCCGCCATGGTTGTTGTTTTTCTTGCCGCTTCTGTGTAGCAACATGCAGAATAGTGACCCTTGTCGGGTATTAATGGCATACAGGTCTGATGACACTGGCCGTTCAGACACAGATCGCATTTAAAAAGATCAGATTTGTATCGGATTCATTGGAAAAAATCGGATCTGTGTTGTTCAGACTGTCATGAAAAGATTAGATCCAGGTCGCATGTAGGCAAAAACAATCAGATTTGGGTCACTTCATGCTGCAGTGTGAACGTAGCATTTGGGGGCATGGAGGTGAAAAAGCAATAAAAACCTGCATGGAGAGACTCCAGCTGTGGAAGTTGGAGGTGATGTTTTCATTGGCCAGAGACTGCAGCACATCTTTTGGGAAGTTCCTGAATAAGCGACTGGATTGGGCCGCTGCAGGAGACACAGCAAAACACAACCAAAGCTTATTTCAGAGACCTGATCCTTTCTACACAGAATAAAACAAAGGAAACGAGTGAAGGAAAAACGTCTCAACCAGGTTTTTTTTTTTCCTTAGAAAACAAACAAAACTACTGATAAACCAACTAAACCAACCAATCTAATTTGGAAGTGTTTTTATCTAATCTATATTTTTACCAGGGAAAACCAAAAGAAATTAGTCACATTAGCCGAAATTCTTCGTAAGTATAATCACAACTTTCAAAACTCTGATGTGGGTATTGAACCACCAACCTTAGAATTGGAAGTCAGTGTCTTAGAGCCGACTCCACCAACACTGATAAGTAGCGCAAAAGTGCTTAACACTAAAGCTAAAACTGTATCCAGCGGCTTGATCAGATTTTGATCATTACATTTTTAATCTAACTAAAATAGTTTGAACCAACTAAATTGGTTGTTTTTCCAACCAATCAATTCTTAGAATCTATCCAAACTCTTTCCACCTGACAGCAGCTCTCCTACAAACTCCCACATCTTGACTGAAAACTTTAAATGCCTGTCGAAGTTCCTGCGCTTTCTGAACCACTTCCTGAAGCGGTCACCTGGTATCACGGTAGCGAGGCTTCGGACCTCATCAATTTTGGCCCCTCCCCTAAATGAATCACGCCTTGACACGGGCTTCAGGGAAACGCCTTCGCCCGGAACTTCGGCAGGCATTTAAAGTCGTAGGGAAGCAGCCGTTCCAACCGTTGCATCTCCGAATTCTCCTGAGTTGTTCCCGATTTTACACGAGTGAATAAAGAGAATGTGGTTGGTCGTCTATCTAGGGGGTGGGGTTGTTGTGGCGGAAGGTTCACAAGCACTTTGATTGTGGCCGGTGTAGGTACCAGATTGACTCGGGGGCCTGCGCCTTTTGATGACGTCA